ATACCTTTAGTAGTAGTAGTGTTAACTCTTCTCTGAAAGCTTGGTAGAATTCTCCAGTGAAGCCACCAGGGCCAGGGGTTTTACTTGTTGGGAGTTTTTTAGTTACTTTAATATCTTCTTTTGTTATACGTTTATTTAGTTTTTCTACCTCAGTTTGTGTTAGTTTAGGTAGGTAGTGTGTTTCTAGAAATTTGTCCATTTCCCTAGGTTTTCAAATTTGCTGGAGTACAATTTTTTTTATAGAATTCTGTTATAATTCTTTTAATTTCAGTTGAGTCTGTTGGGATATTGTCCATCTCATTTCTTAAATCAGGTTATTTTCTTCCTCTCCTGGTTTTCTTTTGCCAGTTTGGCCAATGATTTATTGATTTTGTTGATCTTTTCAAAGAATTAGCTTTTGGTCTTGTTAACTCTTTCAACTGTTTTTCTTTAATCCATTTCATTTCTTTGGGCTCTAATTTTTATTATTTCCTCTCTTCTAGTGCTCGTGGTCTACCTTTGCTGCTCTCTATTTGTTCGAGTTGTAGGGTTAATGTTTTGATTTTGGCCCACTCTTCTTTTTGAATGTGTGCATTTATTGCTATAAATTCACCTCTGAGCACTGCCTTTGCTGTGTCCCAAAGGTTCTGGTAAGATGTGTTGTTATTCTCACTTGATTCTATCAATTCTTTATTTCATCCTTGATTTCTTCTATAACCCAGTAGTTTTTGAGCAAGGTATTGTTCAGTTTCCATGTATTTGACTTTTTTTCTTGCTTTTTCTGTCACTGATTTCTACTTCTATGTCTTTACGGTCTGAAAAGATGCTTTGTAATATTTCGACGTTTTGGATTCTGTTAAGGCTTGCTTTGTGGCCTAGTATGTGGTCTATTCTGGAGAACGTTCCATATGTGCTGAAAAAGAAAGAATACTTGGCAGGTGTTGGGTGGAGGTCAAGTTGGTTGACTGTGGCATTTAGATCTTCCGTGTCTTTATTGAGCTTCTTTCTAAATTTTCTGTCCTTCACTGAAAGTGGTGTGTTGAAGTCTCCTACTACTATTGTGCAGCTTTCTATTTCACTTTTCAATGCTATTAGAGTTTGTTTTATGTACTCTCGAACCCTGTCATTGGATGTGTAAATATTTATTATGGTTATGTCCCCCTGGTGTATTGACCCTTTAATCATTATATAGCATCCTTCCTTATCCTTTGTGGTGGATTTTGCTTTAAAGTCTATTTTGTCAGAGATTAGTATTGTCACTCATGCTGTTTTTTTTATTGTTGTTTGCTTGATATATTTTTTTCCATTCTTTGAGTTTTAGTTTGTTTGTGTCTTTAAGTCTAAGGTGTGTCTCTTGTAGGCAGCATACAGATGGATCATGTTTTTTCATCCATTCTGCCACTCTCTGTCTCTTTTTGGTGCATTTTGTTCATTTTCATTCAGTGTAATTATTAATAGGTATGAGTTTAGTGCTGTCATTTTAATTTATTTTTTGTGGTGTTGACAGTTTCTTTGTTCCTCTTAATTTTCCGTGCTGAGTGATTTTTCTTTACGTATTTTTTTCATCTTTTTCACTACTGTTGATTTGGTATGTGCTGAGTCTTTATGTTTTTCTTCTTTTTTATTTTGATGTATAGATTTGTTAGTTTCCTTTGTGGTTACCTTAAAATTTTCCTCTATTTTTCTAAGTTTAAATCAATCTTTTATTTCTTTTTATTGCCTTAACTTCCTCTCCATATGAAAGTTCTATGATTACACCATTAGTCCCTCTCTTTTGTCTTAATGTAGCCATCTTTTACATATTGACATATATGTTTCTCTATTTTCAGTATTTTAGCTTTGACTTATTTATGTGACTTCCCTATCTGGGGTGATATCCAGTTGTTCTATCCTGTGTTCTAGTCTTGGCTTGTTATCTGACATTATTGGTTCTCTAACCAGAGGATCCCTTTTAGTATTTCTTGTAATTTTAGTTTGGTTTTTACAAATTCCCTTAACTTCTGTTTATCTGAAATGCCCTTATTTTGCCATCATATTTGAGAGACAGTTTTGCTGGATACAGAATTCTTGGCTGGCAAGTTTTTTCCTTCAAGGCTTTATATACTTCATCTCATTGCCTTCTTGCCTGCATGGTTTCTGCTGAGTAGTCTTAGTGTTATTGACTCTCCTTTGTAGGTGACTTTTTGTTTATCACTAGCCGCTTGCCTTAGTCATCTAGTGCTGCTATAACAGAAATACCACAAGTGGATGGCTTTAACAAAGAGAAGTTTATTCTCTCACAGTCCAGTAGACTACAAGTCCAAATTCAGGGTGTCAGGTCCAGGGGAACGCTTTCTCCATCAGCTCTGGAGGAAGGTCCATGTCATCAATCTTCCTTTGGGCTGGGAGCTTCTCTGTGCAGGAACCTCAGGTCCAAAGGACACGCTCTGTTCCTGGTACTGCTTTTTGGTGGTATGAGGTTCCCATGTGTCTCTGCTTGCTTCTCTCTTTTATATCTCAAAAGAGATTGGCTTAAGACACTATCCAATCTTGTAAACTTCATCAGTATAACTGCTACTAATCCATCTTATTAGATCATAGTGATTGAATTTACAATACATAAGGAAATCACATCAGTTTACAAAATGGTACACAATTATACAATACTAGGAATCATGACCTAGCCAAGTTGACAGATATTTTTGGGGGACACAATTCAATCCATGACACTGCTCTTAAAATTTTCTCTTTATCTTTGGTTTTGGCAAGTTTGATTATAATACGTCTTGGTTACTTTCTTTTGGGATCTACCCTGTGTGGGGTTCAATGAGCTTCTTGGACAGATATCTTCTCATCTTTCACAATATTAGGGAAGTTTTCTGCCTACAAATATTCAACAATTTTCTCTGTATTTTCTGTTATCCCCCCGCTCTGGTACTTCAATCACTCATAGGTTATTCCTCTTGATAGAGTCCCACATAATTCTTAGGGTTTCTTCATTTTTTTTTAATTCTTTTATTTGATTTTTCCTCAAATAGATTAGTGTTAAGTGCTTTATCTTCAATCTCACTAATTCTGACTTCCATTGCCTCAATTCTGTTCCTATGACTCTCTATTGAGCTTTCTAATTCTGAAATTTTATTGTTAATCTTTTGGATTTCTATTTGCTGTTTCTCTATGGATTCTGGCAGCCTGTTAAATTTGTCATCCTGATCTGGTATAGCTTTCCTAAATTCCTCTATTGCTTTGTCTGTGCGTTGTTTGGCTTGGTCTGGTTTTGCCTCATCTCCTTCCTGATCTCTTGAAGAGCTCTGTGTATTAATCTTTTGAATTCTACCTCTGGTAATTCCAAGACCTTTTCTTCCTCCAGGAGGTTTCCTGGTTCTTTGTTTTAGTTGCTTTCTGGGGCCATCATGGTCTGCCTCTTATGTTACTTGATATTGACTGTTGTCTCTGAGCCATCAATAAGTTATTATATTTATTTATTGTATGTTTGCTTACTGGGTCCTAGCTTTTTGTTTTGATATGCCCAAATAGAGTAGGTGTGTGAGCTACTTTGTTTATTGGCATCTCTGAAGCTCCCACGCCCTGTCACAGGTGGTTAGAGCTGCTGCTAGGTGTGTGAGGCCAGGAGTCTGTTCACTTTTCTTGTGTGGATTTAGCTCAGGTGTTCCAGTCGTCTTTCACCGAGTGTGTGGTGCAGGCTCTCACCTACAGTCCTAGATGAGCAGAGCTACGCAGGGGCGATTGGAGCATGTATTTGGCTGTTGTAGGGGATTACGTGCTGAGTAAAGTATGGGCTGATGGCTGCCCAAGTGCCTAGGTGGAAGATATGTCCCTGTCCCCCACAGTGCGTAGGTGCATGGGTTTTGCAGCCAGACTTTGGGCACTCAGTGCTGTTGGTTGTAAGGACTGGGAGGCACCGCTTCTTCTTGGACCCCTGTCGTGGGTGGCTAGGTGGAATGGGTGAAGCCACCAGTCCTCAGGCCACTGATATGAGTGGGTGAGGACCCTGCTTAATGGGCAGGGTGGTGTCAAATGTCACAAATCTGCCACTCCCCCTTAGCTGTTGCAGTTGAAAACAGGTTTCAATTATATACTCTGCTGTACTATACTAAGAGGGCCTACGCTGTTTAATGGGCCCACACAGGTCTAGGCAGGGGTGAAAGGCATTCAGAATCTCTGGATCCCTTATGCTGGTGCCTAGGCAAAGGGGCAGTGCCTGCCGTGTGTTCTTGGCTTAGGGTGCATGGTGATTTTTTAAAGCTGCGAGACTGGTTTGGGTGCGGTTAGTCCTGAGCACCCCCTCCCAAAGCCAGGAGACTGGCTTGGATGCGACAGCTCCCACTTCTGGCCTAGGGGGCACGGCATCTGCTGAACACTGCTAGACTGGCACCTGAGCAGAGTGGTGAGGGGGCAGGTGAGGGGAAGAAAGGCACTTCCCAGAGGCGGAAGGGTTATTTTGATCCCATGCAGTAGGTTAGATGCTTGCACTTAACTTTCACAGATCCAGCACCACTTCCCTCTGGTTCCGAAGGCTCATGCAGACTCTCTGTCGCTTCTCCCAACATGGTAAAATGTGTCCCAAGTGCTGCTGCTTGCCTCAGCCCATATGCGCCAGCCAATCCAGCCTGCTGGGTGCTGGCTAGCTCAGGTCTGGCACTTCTTCACTGCTTCTGAACTTTCTCTCTCTCCCCCTGGTGCTCAGTCCGACTCCTCAACTTTGTCTTTGATGTTCAGGGCTCCTGGAGTGTCATATATAATCAATTCACTTGTTTTTTCGGGTCTTTGTTGTAAGAGGGACCATAGAACGCATCTGACTATTACACCATCTTGGCCCTGCCTCTCCCTCCTGTTTTTTAATATCCCAAGTCCCAAACACAAAGTGTTTGGGTTGTGGCAGCCTAATATCTTTTGGGATAGTACCAGATAGCTGACTCCACATGTAGATGATGTTGTCTCAACTGGGTTACAGACTTCTTAAAGTATCTCATATAAGTATTATTTATTTTAGTAATGGAAGGAAAAATTGAAAATACTACCTCATATGAAGAGTCTTCTTGTAAACTTGACATAGGAACAATTTCATTTGAATTAACATAATTGCTGACAATTGGAAATAGTTCTTCAAAAGATGCTTTTTGGACTGAGGACAAATCAATCTACAAAAGAATATATTACTCTTTTGTAGAACTAAATGTTGCAAAAGCAATTATATTCTAAGTAATGAAAGTTGAAAATACTATCTTATTAGAGGATTTTCTTGTGAACTTGACATAGGAACACTTTCTTCTAACTTAACATAATTTCTGACATTTGTAAATATTTCTTAAAAACACGCATTTTTAACTAGGAACAAATCAATCTATAAAGAAGAATAGATATTTTGCATTGAACACTAGAGACTTTTAAATCTCTGTCTAAGCTCCAGATCCATATCTCTATCTGGTTACTAATATCACAACATATGTCTGACTCAAAATCAAAATATATAAAACTAGACTCAAGATCCATACTCCTTAGGTGAAAACTCCAAGAAACTTTTGCCTGTTGACCTGCTAGATCTGACTAAGGTAACTGGCCTGAACCTAGATGAGACCACAGCTTAGGTGCTTGGAATGGATTATCAATTTCACTGGCGGTGTGGGGGGTGGGGATGGAGGGCGTCTGCCTTTGCCTAGCTCCTCTTTCTCTTAGGAGGACAGAACAATTTCATGCCTATCTATATGTATCTTGGAATAGTTTTAGGAAGGTCATGTTAAACTGAGATCCTGGAAAACAAAAATCTCCCAAAAGTCCTTCAGTAAATTAGCCTTCTCTAAGGTGGCTAGCCAAGGACCAACAGTGTGTAACTGAGGGGGACCTACATGCCTCATTTGGTGGAAGCAAGCTGTAGAATGTATTACATGGCAATTGGCCTCAGACTCGTTTAACAAAACATGGACTTTAAAATGTCAAGCCATTAAGTGTTCTCAAAAGTATTTTATTTATTAAAAGATGCTGATATTTAACTACAGAATGGGAGAAAATACAGGTCCTTGACTTACTACATATTTGATTTACACGACAACAGCACTTATGCCTGTGTTTTTGTTTCTTGTTTTGAATATCTTATTAGTAATATGTATAACATACAATGTTGCAGCGCATAATTTGCTGATGTTATCATTCTCAGATGTTTACTAGCAGATGTTCAAAGATTGGATTTATAAGGATACTGATAATAAAAGGCAACAATAATGAAAACTAAAAAAAAAAAAGCTATTCAATTTACGTCAGAACCAGCTTACATTGAGGTCATCAGAAGGAAACCCCGTCGTAAGTCAGGGACTACTTGTATTTGCAAATCACATATCTGATAAGGGATTTGTATCCAGAATATATAAAGAACCCTTACAACCCAACAATAAAAAGAAAAATAACCCAATTAAAAAATAGGCAAAGAGTTTGGACATTTCTCCAAAGAAGATATACAAATGGCCAATAAGCACATGAAAAGATGCTCAATATCATTAGTCATTAGGGAAATACGACTCAAAACCATAATAAAATACCACTTCACACTCACCCACTAGGATGGTTAAAATAAAAAAGACAAATAATAACAAGTATGGGTGAAAATATGGAGAAATTGGAACCCTTGTGCATTGCTGATGGAAATGTAAAATGGTGAAGCTGTTTTGGAAAACAGTTTGGTGTTTCCTCAAAAAGTTAAAAATACAGTTATTATATGACCCAGTAATTCAATGTCTAGGTATATATATAAGAGAACTGAAAATTATGTTGATGCAAAAACTTGTATATGAATGTTCACAGTAGCATTATTCACCAAAAGGCGGAAACAATCCTAATATCCATCAACTGATGAATAAATAAAATGTGTTACATTCATATAATGGAATATTATTCAGCCATAAAAAGCAGTAAAGTACTGACACATGCTACAAAACAGATGAACCTTGGAAACATTATGCTAAGTGAAGAAGCCAGACACAAAAGGCCATGTATTGTATTGTATGATTTCATTTATCTGAAATGTCAAGAATAGGCAAATTTATAGAGACAGATAGTATATTAGTGGTTTCCAGGGGCTGGAGGGTGGGGAGAAGGGGATGGGAAATGACTGCTAATGGGGTGATGAAAATGTTCTGGAATTAAACAGTGGTGATGACTGCACAACCTTGTGAATATACTAAAACACCACTGATTTTATACTTTAAAATGGTGATTTTTATGAAATATGAATTACATCTCAATAAAAAAGATGCTGTTTGTAAAATGGCCATTAAATTAATTTTCTAGGGGGGAAAAACTCATTTTGGTACATTTATTCCTGATCTATAAAAATTTAATTCTAAATATCACATCAATTAATCAAAACATAAAAAATGAAATCACTCATTTTCTAGAAAAGGAATATTAACTTTTAGAGCACTAGAAAGAGTGTTTGCAAGCAGAATGCTGGCAAAACCTTTTCCCCAGCATGAGAATCTGATCTTTGGTTAACTCTCTAGCTCCATTCCCCTAGAAGCCTGGTAAGAGTCAACTGTAAGGACGTCAACTGTGTTAGTAGGCAATATTGCTGGACTGGTAAATTTTACCTATACTGGGAAAATCTATGAACGTAGTATAAATAAATAAATAAACTATAAAATGTACTATAAATAAATAAATACTATAAAAGTTGCCACACATTGGGTTTCTTTCAGTGCAGTCACTCTTGTATGTAGGCATGTCCATTGAGGGGATTCTGGAAGCTATGTTTATGTGTTGTTACAAAAGATATTGACTTGAGTAGGGTGGTTCCTGCATTCACTGGATACATATGTCATCTCCTTGCTCCTGAGCTGTGCTCAGACTGGTATATAACTAGCTGTGAGGACTGCTCCCACTGAAGAGGAAGCCTTGCTGCTGTCCTGCTGGCAAGTTTCATTCCTATCATTTAGTTCAACCTAAGAATAACCCCGGTTGGTGCTGCAGTATCCTCATCTTTCTTTCTTATATATATAGCGGTGTATAGAGTACAGTACTTCTAACGAAAGTGTGTGCAACATAAAAACAAAGACATCATTTTCAGTAGCCAATATTCCCTTGGTATGACAAAAATTTTAAAGTGGGAGGGGAGAGAGTCAAAAAATAGATATTACAAGTACCAAATGCTAAAACTTACCACAAAACCACCTGTCTGTGAAGATGGAGTACTTGTTAATAGGCCTCTCCTTTTCTTATCAGGAATAGTGGGATTTGTTTTCTATAAATGTTTTGTGAATAACAGAAAGAAATAAGCTACTTTAATACAGTAAAACCACAATTTAAAATTAGTACAATAGATCATAATATGTCATACTAATAAAATCTTTAATCTACTAATTAAATTTTAAGCCACTACATAGGTAACGAAAGAATTTTCTAGCTTGAGTTAGGTGCGGGGAAGAAAAAACCTCCCTAAAGAACTTTATGAAGCATAATAACTACATGAGAATATTTTGGTTGAAATCACTATTTAGGAAAAAAGGCTAATTAGAGTTTTGAACTAGGAAATAATGTTTTGGTTAACTCTGTTAATTGTGAAGAAAGGTATTTTACTTTTAAACTCCTAGTAATTAATTATTGGACTTGTTTTTGAAAAGGATTATAAGCTATTTCTGAAACTGTTACAACATATATGTAGTAAGGATAATTGGTGTAAAATACATAAGATTAAAAGTATACAGATATTTTCATTTACGGAACATCGAAGTTAAAGAAATTATAAAGTAGGATGCAGACTCATTTTCTATTTCTTGAAGACGTAAAGAGGCAGACAAAGAAAAATAGGCATAGAGCAATAGGTGGACAAAGCAAGAGACAGCGCGAGCAGAAAAAGAGACAAGATTAGAGAGCTAAAGACAGGGAGGGACAGACCAAGAGAAGGGAGGAGGGAAGGAAGAAGGAAGATAGAAAGGCAAAAGACAGAAAGAGAAAAGAGGTGAAAATTGAGAGGAGGAGAGGGAGGGAGGAGAGAGAGAGAAGACAGAGAGTAAGAGCAGAAAGACAGAGATTGAGAGACAGAGAAACATGGAGAATCAATGACAGAGGACAGACAGAATAAGAGAGACCAAGACAAAGATGGGAGAAAAGAGAGACGCTTGAGACTGAGAGAGACAAAAACAGGCAGAGCAAAGGTAAAGAGACAGAGGTACAGAGTCAGAGCAAAGAGAAACAAAGTGATAGAGACAGTCTAAGAGAGGAGACGTGTAGATTTATTTCTAGCAATCAAGAGCCCTCTTCGACTCTTTGGTTTCTTGAAACAACCATGTCCTTCTGATTAAGCTCTCTTTTTGATTAGGTGTTTATCATATGCTACCACGTCTAGAATCCAAACTCAGAGGCAAAACTTGAACACAGAAAAGTTTGTCTGCCCTTCCTTCCTTCCCTTCTTTCCTCCCTTCCTCCCTCCCTCCCTTTCTTTTGCCTTCTGGTTTTAAATCTCTTAAATTAGTTTTTGGTTTACTACATAATCTGGAATAGTATATTGAGAAAATTTTTAGCCAAAAATTTCTTTTATGGGTATATTTACCTGGTACAATGAATATGTCAGCTCGCTAACTTATTAGCTATATAGATCTTCTAATTTCTTCATCTGCCCAATGGGGATTATTCTACTCCTGGGGATTGTTGTGTAAGAGTTACAAATAATATATGTAAAGACAGCCTATAGTGTCTAGAAAGTAGGAGATACTCAGTGATAGCTATTATTATTGTGATTGTGGCAGCCATGGAGGTGCTCTGCTTGGATCTCCTTTAGGAAATAACCTGCTGCTCCACCGCAAGGACTGCAGTTAGCCAATAGCCTCCAGATACAACATCTTTAGAATCTGCTTCAGCTTTCAGTCTGAGGCCATGCTCTTCATTGGCAGCTCCCATCCAATGTCTGAGCATAGCAGAGGTAATAGGGCCTGGTCATTTCTGCCCAACATAATAAGACTTCTCTAGAGGGTAATCTTTGTTCTGGAGCTCCCAGTTCAGTTGGCCAAGATTTTGTCAGATCTGCATTGAATACTTGCTTTCCTTTCTCAGGTATTACTTTCCCAGCAAACACTTGATCAAACACTTGTACTCCTAATTCTGTCTCAATATCTGCTTCCCTTTGGTCCCAACACAATTGTTAATAGTCAGACTAATTTTATAATCATCAGCCTGCATACAGCCAGTAAGTGTATAGCTACCCTGTGTTTCCCCCCATATTTGCTAAGAAATTATGTATGTATAAATCTTCCCAATGAGTGCTTTTTATTTATTATAGTCTTTTCAAGAACTATTTATTAATAAAAGACCAGTGCTTACCAATTCAGGTTCCAGAGGCTGAGGCAGCAGAACTGATCTACCTGCATTGTCTTCTACAGAAAACCTATGACGAGATGCTGGAACCTTGATTTTTAGATGACGAGAGTTTAACTTTGTTTGAAAACTTACATCTCTAGGTTCAATATCTTTCTCAAGCTGAAACAAATTAATAATCATGAAACACATTTCACAGTGCTATATAGGCATTTCTAGTATTTCTCTGATATCCAATTTTTTAATTATAAAATACATGCTTTAGTCCCTCAGCATGAAAAAAGTTTTATAGATGAATGTTTTTTAGAAAAAAAGTATGGTTTTCTATATATTTAAGGAAAAAAATTTGTTGAAAGACAAAACAGTTTCAAATCTATTTAGCTCAAAAAACGTCCCTACCACATTTAAGGCAACATATCCCAAACAGTGTTCTATGCAAACAAAACAAACACTCACGAGATCTATTTTTAAATATTTAAAACTGAGTTTTAAAGAAAACACTAGGTATATTTATATAGACGTCTTTATTATACAATAATCTACCTGTAAGAGACAGAAAGTCCCCTCTAAGACATCAGGAAGCCACAACTACAAGACAATGTGTTGCTTTACCAACTAATCCCTGCACTGAAAACTGTAGACTGCTCAGTGATTGCTTGTCTAAAGTTATATATCTTGTTTTATACTTCTAATACATATTTGTAATATTATTCAAAGTTTAAATATACTGTATTCAACATAAATGGGGATGGCAATTTGAGTTGGGTCCTAAAAGAGTGACAGGACTTTGAGCGGAGAGGGAATATATATACAGCGGAAGAGAAGAAAGTAGAAGAGGTGTAAGGTATATCTCAAGCAAAGGAATGAGCAAGGGTGTGGGGCAAAGAGTGAAATATCACTGGCATCTACTGACTTCTTTTTCTCATTGAAGATTTCATACCTTGCTTATACCTTTTCTCTTGTTCCTGTCATCATTTTCAGCAATTTTATCATCCAAGTGAATAACCCACCCAATCACCTGGGCTCTAAGGTCCTTAACCACTGCATTTCTAACCTTTTGTCCTCATGCCATTTCAGTTAGCCACTTCATGATCAAACCTTAGCCCTTATCATCAAAAGAAACTACAGAATCACCAATTCAAGTAGTTTCCTATATTCTTCCAACTCCTGCTACAGTGTCTTCATGAAACAGCCTTCCCCTTCATTGAAATCTCTAATTCACTGAACCCACCATTTCTCTTTATCCATTAGCCTTTCCCTGTCTCCATTTTAGGAGTCCCTGGGTGGCGCAAAAAGTCAAGTGCTTGACTACTAACTGAAAAGTTGGTGGTTTAAACCCACCTAGAGGCACCTTAGAAGAGGTTACAGTCATGAAAACTCTATAGACTGCAGTTCTACTCTGCACACATGGGGTTGCCGTAAGTGGGAATCAACGCAAGGGCAACTGGTAGTCTTCACTTCCTTCCTTATCTAGGTTCTATGCCGCCATCCATCATTATTACAATTACTTTCCTACCCCTCTCTCCTTCTATTACACATGCTTGCCAAATTCCCAGCCCTAGATAAACCCTAACATCCATATCCTTTGTACCTCCAGTACAAGTGAGTATTAGGGAAAGTTGTACAATCTGGCATACTGAAGTCACCACAAACTCAGAAGGAGCAGCCAGAAACTGACAACTTTACTATACTTATCTAGTTCTTCATGACAATTTCATATATGCTCCATTTTCCTTAAACCTCTAGCCTCTTTCACTCTACCATTCTCAGCTGACGGCCTTGCCTCACATTTCAGTTCAACAACAGGTGCCATCAGATAGAATATCATCACTTAGGACTCACAATTTTCAGAACAGTGAAAAATGAAAGTGCAGGGCCTCTTGTTGAAAAACCATTAAGAATTTCAAAATGGCAACAGCATAGTATTAAACGAAGCATGGTTTAATAAAGTCGACCCTGCCACCACTACATTTATAAAGCTACCACAATGGAAGTATCTCTCTTCTTTTAAAGGTCAGTCCCTCCATAGGTATGCTAGACCCCACCCCTCCTCATATTTCCAAAGATTTCCCTCTTCCACATAATGATATAGGGAAGTTTTATTTTTAAATAGCTTTATTGAGATATAGTTCATATACCATATAAATCAGTAATTTAAAGTATAAAATTCAATAGTTTTTAGTATTACAGGGTTGTGCAACCATCATCAAAACTAATTTTAGAACACTGTCACCACCCCTAAAAGAAATTTGGTACCCATTAACAGTCAATCCTCATTCTGCCCTCACCATCCCTAAGCAACCACTAAGCTACTTTCTGTCTCTGTAGATTTGACTATTCTGGACATTTAATATAAACGGAATCATAAAATATATAGCCATTTGTGACTGGCTTCTTTCACTTAGCATAATATTTTCAAGGTTCGTGCATGTTGTAGCATGTATCAATACTTCATCCCTTTTATTGTTGAATGATATTCCATTGTATGGATAGACCACATTTTATTCATCCATTCATCAGGTGATGGACATTTGAGTTATTTTTACTTTTTTGGCTATTATGAATAATGCTGCTGTGAGCATTCATGAACTAGTTTTTGTGTGGATGTCTGTTTTTATTTCTCTTGGGTATATATACCCAGGAACGAATTTACTGGATCATATGCCAACTCAATGTTTAACATTTTGAAGAACTGCCAGACTATTTTCCAAAGCAGCTGCACCATTTTACATTCCCCCCAGCATCACATGCAGTACACATGAGGGTTTCAATTTCTCCACATCCTTGCCAACACTTGTTATTGTCAGTCTTTTTCACTCTAACCATCCTAGTAGGTATGAAGTGGCATTCAATGTGGTTTTGATTTCCATTTTCCTAATGAAGTGGAGCCCTGGTGGTGAGCTTAGCTGCCAACCTGACTGTAGAGTTCTTTCACAGGGCTTGCTATGAGCCAGAATTGACTCAATAGCAATTGGTTTTAACCACCAAAGTGCTCAAGACAGAAACCTAGAAGTCATTCTTGACACTTCTCACTCCTTCAACTCTTATATCTAATCCACCATCTCTGTTGGCAAAATTATCTTTAATCTAGCCATCTCTTTCCATCTCTCCTATAAAATATAATCAAAGCCACCAAGATCTCTCACCAAAACCTTTATAACTGTGAAAGCCACCATGATCTCTCACCAAAAACTCTGCAACTGCCTACTAATGGGTCTCCCTGCTGTCACTCTTGCCTTCTTTCAATTCAGTCCCCAACTTATACGATGATAGTATGGTGTAATGGAAAGAATACAGGTTTAAGAACCAGAAAGACCTGCCACAAGGTGCTCAAACAAATTGGTTAGTCTCTAAATTTCAGTTTTCTCAGCTATAAAATAGGGATACAACTATTTATCTGACAGGAATGATATAAAGTAAAGATACAATTAATGAAAAGTGCTTAAGAGTAATGCTTAGTGTTGAATAGCCACTCAAATAGCCTGCTACATACAAAATAAAGTCCAAATTCCTCCCCAAAGGCTTCCAGATTCTAGGTCTAATGTACTGACTCACAAGTATTCTTCAGCATAAAACACTGCTCTGGCTACATAGTAAATTTCTTATTTTTACTTTAAATTCATGAGTAATATCAAAATCAAATGTGTTTCTGTCAAGTTGATTCCAACTCATAGCAGCTTCATAGAGGCATCCAATTATCCATAGGAAGTTGGAATTTTGTAAATTTTAATTCTCTTTCATTAAACTTACATAGAGTATATACCCAACTGTATGCTGTGTAGGTTTTTCACAAAATTGAATAATCTAATTGCTAAACTCCAAAAAATGTTTTAAAGTATTAACTTAAATAGATGGAAAATAATTCCTATAAAAGTATTGGTTAAAAATATGTCTTATATTAATGAAATGTATGGTTTATGTAGTTATTCTGCTTCAATACTTGCTTTTTTCTTTGTTTTTTCAGGGGCTGGAGGGCAAGTTTTCTCAGCAAGTAAAACTTCACAAGCTGCATTATCTAGAAATAAAAACATACTTTAGCATTCTAATTATTTAACCAGTCACTGACTAGAAATAAAGAGGGGAAGAGACCTCCAACTTTGACAAACTTATTACAAACTTTTGTAATAGTTTTAAAAGAAAAACTTAGTATATGTTGACTATCTGACTTGCTCCAGTTATGAAAAAAAACCTTAAAAATATTTTTATCTCAAGAGCTCCAGGTTTCACAGAAGTAAGTAAATTCTATATAAGTTTTTCCTTTCAATTAACAGAGGAAGCTGATGTGATTAAAACTCTTTGATCATCAAAACTCTCCTGTATTCGCAGGCTTTCCTTTCTACTGCAACTTAAAAACATGCCCAGGCCTCTCTCACCTTACAAAAAACTTTTCCTGTACCCCACATCCCCCTCCTGCCACAGCCTTTCTCTCCTCTTTTCCACAAGAAAGTTTCTTCAAAGAGTTGTCTACACATACTGACTTTACTTCCTCCCCTTCTATTTACTCCCAAATCCACTACAATCCAGTTTCAGCTCCCACCAGTATGAGTGGAAATCTTTCCTGTCCTTAACCTCACTAAACCTCAGTACAACAACAGGTGTGAACATCTTCCCTCTTTGGCCCCTTCTGTGGCTCCTCTCCAGTGTTGACTATTCCCTTTTCCTCACTCTCCAGACTCATTCCAAAGCAATAAATATTTACTGATGTCTGCTATGTGCCAGTTCTATCACATGTATTTAATATTGCAAATTCAGCTTTTCTTCATTCTAAACACCACTACTTTTGTTTAAGCCACCGAAAGATTTCCTTTAGATTATTTTAACAGCTTTTCAACTTACCTCTCTCTGCAGTCCATTATCCTCCCTGTATACTTAAAATGCATACCTAATATATAATATCCTCTGCTTAAAACTCTTCAAGGTCATACTTTGGCTCTCGTGGCCTTGTTCTAATTTTTTTCAGCTTCAACTTGAACTTGCATATGAGCAATTGATGTTCTGTTCCACAGTCGGCCCCTGGCCTTGTTCTGACTGATGATATCGAGCTTTTCCATCATCTCTTTCCACAGATGTAGTCGATCTGATTCCTGTGTATTCTGTCTGGTGAGGTCCATGTGTATAGTCACCGTTTATGTTGGTGAAAAAAGGTATTTGCAGTGAAGAAGTCATTGGTCTTGCAAAATTCTATCATGTGATCTCTGGAATTGTTTCTATCACCAAGGCCGTATTTTCCAACCACCAATTCTTCTTCTTTGTTTCCAACTTTCGAATTCCAATCACTAGTAATTATCAATGCATCCTTATTGCATGTTCTATCGACCTTGAGTATATCCCACCTGAATTTAGAGATCATCTCAAGAACAGAGTTGACACGTTGAACACTAATAACCGAAGACCAGACAAGCTGTGGAATGACATCAAGGATATCATACATGAAGAAAGAAAGAGGTCATTTAAAAGACAGGAAAGCAAGAAAAGACCAAAATGGATGTCAGAAGAGACTCTGCAACTTGCCCTTGAATTCTGAGTAGCTAAAGCAAAAGGAAGAAATGATGAAGTAAAAGAACTGAACAGAAGATTTCAAAGGGCAGCTCAAGAAGACAGAATAAAGTATTATAATGACATGTGCAAAGAGCTGGAGATAGAAAACCAAAAGGGAAGAACATGTTCACCATTTCTCAAGCCAAAAGAACTGAAGAAAAAATTCAAGCCTCGTGTTGCAACAGTGAAGGATTCTATGGGGAAAACATTAAACGACACAGAAAGCATCAGAAGATGGAAGGAATATACAGAGTCACCATACCAAAAAGAATTGATCAACATTCAACGGTTTCAAGAGGTAGCATATGATCAGGAACCAATGGTGCTGAAGGAAGAAGTCCAAGCTGCACTGAAGGCACTGGTGAAAAACAAGGCTCCAGGAACTGACAGAATATCAACTGAGATGTTTCAACAAACGGATGTAGCGCTGGAGGTGCTCACTCGTCTATGCCAGGAAATTTGGAAGACAGCTACCTGGCCAATCTACTGGAAGAGATCCATATTTGTGCCTATTCCCAAGAAAGGTGATCCAACTGAATGCAGACATTATTGAACAATATCACTAATATCACACGCAAGTAAAATTTTGCTGAAGATCATTCAAAAGTGGTTGCAGCAGTATATCTATAGGGAACTGCCAGAAATTCAGGCTGAATTCAGAAGAGGATGTGGAACCAGGGATAACATTGCTGATGTCAGATGAATCCTGGCTGAAAGCAGAGAATACCAGAAAGATGTTTACCTGTGTTTTATTGACTATGCAAAGGTATTCATTCGACTGTGTGGATTGTAACAAATTATGGATAACATTCAGAAGAATGAGAATTCCAGAACATTTAATTGTGCTCATGAGGATCCTGTACATAGACCAAGAGGCAGTTGTTCAAACAGAAGAAGGGGATACTGCATGGTTCAAAGTTAGGAAAGGTGTGCGTCAGGGTTGTATCCTTTCACCAATCCTATTCAATCTGTACGGTGAGTAAATAATCCAAGAATCTGGACTATATGAAGAAGAAAGGGGCATCAAGATTGGAGGAAGACTCATTAACAACCTGCGTTATGCAGATAATACAACCTTGCTTGCTGAGAGTGAAGAGGACTTGAAGCACTTACTGATGAAGATCAAAGATCACAGCCTTCAGTCTGGATTACACTTCAACATAAAGAAAACAAAAATCCTCACAACTGGACCAATAAGCAACATTATGATAAATGGAAAAAAGACCGAAGTTGTCAAGGATTTCATTTTATTTGGATCCACAATCTACACCCATGGAAGCAGCAGTCAAGAAATCAAAAGATGCACTGCATTAGACAAATCTACTGCAAAAGACCTCTTTAAAGTGTTGAAAAGCAAAGATGTCACCTTGAAGACTAACGTGCGCCTGACCCAAGCCATGGTATTTTTGAATCGTATCACATACCTGCGAAAGCTGGACAATGAATAAGGAAGACCGAAGAAGAATTGATTCCTTTTAATTGTGGTTTTGGCAAAGAATACTGAATATACCATGGGCTGCCAAAAGAACGAACAAAGCTGTCTTGGAAGAAGTACAATCTTAGAGGCAAGGATGGTGAGACTATGTTTTGCATACTTTTGACATGCTGTTAGGAGGGATCAGTCCCTGGAGAAGGACATCATGCTTGGTGAAGTACAAGGTCAGCGAAAAAGAGGACGACCCTCAACGAGAGGGACTGACACAGTGACTACAACAATGGGTTCAAGCATAATGACTGTGAGCATGGCTCAGAACTGGGCAATGTTTCGTTCTGTAGTACATAAGGTCTCTATGAGTCGGCGCTGCCTTGACGGTACCTAACAACAACAACAACAAAACTCTTTAAAGGCTTTCCACTGCCGTCAAACTCCTTTACTTGGCATATTAAACCCTGCTTTTTATGATCCCTGTATTGCTTACATATTCTCCAGCCCTATTACTGAGGCTAATAGGGTTGCCAGATAAAATACAGGATGCCCAGTTAAATTTGAATTTCAAATAAACAACAAATAACTTTTAATAAGTATGTATAATATTTACTTATACTGAAAAAGTATTCATTGCTTATCTGTAATTCAAATTTAACTGTGCATCCGGTATTTTTATTTGCTAAATCTGGCAACCCTAGAAACTAACCACTCCTTCTTGTCTTCACCTCCCAAGATAGAGAGAAGTCGGTGGGTCGGACAGCTCTTTAGGAGGTAAAATTGTTAATAAGATTTTGCATTAGATTAGATATGGGAAGTGACAAAGAGGGAAGTCCAGGATGACCCCCAAGGTTCTGGTTTGCTAAACTGCATTTACTAACAAAGATGGGGGGCACCGGAGGAGGACTAGGCTAGGTGTAGAACATAACAATTTTACGTCCTCAATCCTCATTTTATTTCATCTTTCAGTAGCTTTTGTCATAGCTGGGATCACTTTCTCCTTGAATTACTCTCCTTCTGTTAGCTTCTGAGGCACCAGTCTCTCCTGGTTTTTATATTATTCATTGGCACTCAGTTTCAGTTCTCTTTGCTGGATGTCTCCTCTTCCCTACTTTTAAATGTTGGAGTGTACCATCTATATTCTTTGTATATGTCTCTTTTCGATTTATTGTCAATTCCTAGGTGATCTCATCTAATCCTAAGGCTTCAAAACTGACTCTAAATATAAATCTACAGCCTTAGCCTTTGTCCCGAACTCCAGACTCTTGCATCACAAACTGCCTTCATGACATCTCCACTAAAAGGCTAATAAATCTTTCAATTTTTTTAGTGTATTACTGAAGTGTGCTAGATATACAGTAATTGGTACAAATCTTGACTGTGTATGTATTTACCCATGTAACCAACACCCAGATCAAGATATAAAACATTTTTAGCACCTCAGAAATTTCTCATATATCCTTTCCCAGTCAGTAAGCCCCTCTCAGAAGTAACTACTATTCTGACTTCTATCATCCAGAATAGTCTTGCCTGTTCTGAACTTTATACATACGGAGTTATACAGTATATGCATGTTTGTGCCTTGTTTCTCTCATACAATATTATGTGCTTCAGTTGGCAGATCAAATTTAATATGCCCAAACCAAACACTCTTACCATCCTTTCAACTTGTTGTGCCCCATAATGCTCCCAACCTAGTTGCTCATGCCAAGAATTTAGGACTCATTCTTGACTTCTATTTTTCTCCCACTCTCTCACTTCAGGCTGTGCTCAAATGTCAGAGAGGCCTGTCTTGACTACCCTATCTAAAACAGCATCTCCAGTCACACTCTGTTTACTCTGCCTTATTTTCTTTCATTGCTTTATTTCTACCTGACAATATATTATACATTTATGTGCTTACCTGTTTATAATCTACCTTTTGTGCCAGGCTACAAACAGAAACGCCTGGCGATCTACTTCCATAAGATCACAATCATTGAAAATCCTATGGACAGCAGTTCTACTCTGAAACACGTGGGGTTGTCATGAGTCAGAATTGACTTGATGGCAACAAGTTTGTTTTTTTCTGGGTCTCTCCACCATAATGTAAGCTCTATTAGGGCAAAGACTTTGCTATGTTCCCCAGCAACTGAAACAGTTCGTGTTACTCTGTAAGTGTTAAATAAATAATATAGCAAGATGAGGGAATCCCTGGGTGGCGCAAACAGTTAAGCGCTCAACTACGAGCCAAAAGGTTGGCAGTTCAAACGCACCCAGAGGCACCTCAGAAGACAGGCCAGAAGATCTGCTTCTGACAGGTCATAGCCTTGAAAACCCTAGGGAGCGGTTCTATTCTGCACACACAGCACTGCCCTGAGTAGGAATCAACAACTAACAACAACAACAACAAATCTAAAGTCATCAGTTCCAATTTCTTCTGTTTCATGAGTTAGAATTGACTCGACGACAACAAAGCAAGATGTGATTTATTTAATTTTAAATTTCAAGTCAATCAACCACATACAAGTAACAATACAAAAGCACACATACTTCCAGAATCACCTACCACCAAGCTTTGTAAATAAGATTTTCCACAAACAAAGCAGAACTTTTTGTTGGGCAAGACAAAGTAAAATTGTGAAGTTGTTTTTGGTACCTAACCACTTTGCTTTTTATCATCTCTCTTTCCTTGTCCACAGTTCTATTACTGTTTGTTCTATAAAACAAATCCCCCTTCTAATACTTACCCTCCAGGGTAGAAGGTGCTACTCCTCCCAAGGATGTGTGTTTTTAAAAGCTTAGTCTTTATCACTGGACTAACTTTCTTCAGGACAGAAATTATCTTAATCATTTTTATACCCACAGTTCGTAACACAGTGCCTGGCATTTAGTAAATGCTCATGAAAACAACTTCTTAAGTGAAGATTACACACATACACAATTTTTTTTTAGTTTATACAGACATTTAATAAGGACCCATCAGGAGGAAAACCAGCAATTCTTCAAGTTTACTCTCAAACAGATGCTGTAAAATTTGCTGCAGCAAATAAAGAAAATAGAGATCTGAGATACGGCACAAAATCTCTTGCTTAGTTTATTCTAACAAACTAAACAATAGAGTACCTATAATACAAGGCAGTTTGTTGAACCCTTTAATTTTTTAATCACATATAACTCCAATATATCCGTTTATTTTTCCTCCTCTCCTACAACTGAAGTCCACGAGGGCAGAGAATGTGAATCACTCCCCACTGGTACCTGTAGCAATGCCTCATAGTAATACTCAGTAAATGTTTATTAAATGAATAAATAATGGGTGTTGTGAGGATAGTTAAGATCCACTTTCTAACTCCACATATCTTCATTTCGTAAACACAACCATGCTAAAAAGTACTCAGCTTCCTGGCTACCAATTTTCTTAATACATGCTATGTTGCGGCAAAAATAAAGAAATACAGAATCATGAAAATAATTAGTTTCATTATTCATTACCTGATTCTAAATTTGAAGTACTCTTTGGTTCTGGAAAAAGATTTTGGTCTGCTAATGTCATCGCCCTATAATAAGAAAAAATTAATGGTATTTTCTTAATCTTTCAGTAACTTTTAAGAATCCTCAAATAATACTTAAAGACATTTATATGTAATCAATTACCCTGTAGAAAAAAATACAACTGGTTAGAAAAAATGTTGCCCTATCTGTGTGAATAAAAGTAGTTTAATAATAAAATTCAATACATTTATTCATTTATCAGAGACAATATGTACAGAGGACTAGGCATAGTGTTTAGAATCAGACAAATCTGAAATTAAACTCCAGTTCTGCTATTTACACTTAAGTGTCTTTGGGAAAGTTACTTGAGTGTCTTGGTCTTGGTTACTTCGTTCATGCAAAAAGGATAGAAATCTTGTTTCCCAGGATTCTTGTGCTAATGATTTCAAGTAATATGAGAGATAATATTTTCTGAAATTAATATTTTCTCTTTTGCACTTCCACAAATGATACCTCTCTCCATTCTATCCAAATGTACAGGAGAGGATTAGCTATTACAAAAGGAATACAAACAAACAAACAAACAAAAGGACCAAAGCTCAGCCTTGACCACTAAAATGGGATTTCTGAGTCCCTAACAAGACAATGGAGTCAAAAAGCAGATGTGAGAAGAGGATTTTCTATATTTCCATTACTGACTTATTCAACTGTTGAACTGAGTAAGCAGGAAGCAACTTTCTTCTTTCATATTTACCCTTTAAACACATTCTGTCAAAATAGTACTCTCCTGCCCCTAAATGAACTTTCAGGTAGATTTCATTGCATTTCTGGTAATTGTCTGGTAATAGACATTTTCAGGCAGTAAAAAATCCAATGTAATATAACAACTCTAAGCTCTTATTATTAAATTTAAATTTTTTCCTTCTCCAAGGCTGGATATGATTTAGAGTCATAACCTGCACTGGGGAAAGCAACAATGGTTGGTTTCTTTTCTATTTCTTGTTCTTATTCCTCCCCCATTTGTAACTATTGTTTGGGGTCCTTTAGCATTGGAGTAGGCGGAAGGAGTTGCAGAAAGGGACTGGAAAGGTCTTTCTTGATTGATACTATTATAATATGCCATTAGTGCTCTTTGGGTGTGGCAAATAACCAAACTGCTGACTCTAAAACATCAAGTATTTTGAGAGGTTCTTTGGAGATTTCCCTATCACTATGGATCTCTCATTTACACCTATTTATGATTATCTCAGCTTTTGTGTTTCATCATAAACTTACAGCCTCTTTCAGCTGAAGTTACTTCATCCTTTGCAGAAAGCCATACTGGCATGTTCCCTTTCAAGATGAACCCCAACCAGCCCCTTATGTGGGATCCATGTCTCACCCATGGGCATCATGCACAAATCTTTGCTATGCCAAACTATGAAAATATATCTAGCTTCAAAAGGAGGTTCTCACACTAATTCTCTTTTCACTCCACATTTTCCCAGTGTGACAACAACGCCTTGAGCTCAGGATCTTTGCCTAGCCAGCCTGGGATAGCCAACTGCTAGCTGCACATGTCTACTTCAGAGGTCTATGGGTATCTCAGTGTTTTCCAAACTGAAAAAATCTCTGTCACCCCAATCCATGTGTGTCTTTCCATTTGTTTCCTCACCCAATTAATGAGTCATCATCCATCTAGTGTCCTAAATCAGAGGCCTGGAGGCCATCTTGGACCCCATATGCCTCCACCAACAAATCAGTCATTAAGAACTGTCTGTTCTCGGAATTCCGGCAAAATGGCGCTCTAGGCAGAAGCACCACGCCATCCCTCCACAGCAAAGATCCGAAAAACTAAGCCGAACAAAGAATACAACAATCCTGAAACCCTAAAACATCAAACGTACAGATAAAGAACTCAGCCAAGCACCAAATGGAGTGAGAAAACTGACAGAGAATGGAGAGTGAGGAGAGATTCATGCAGAGGTCCCCTACCAGCTGACACAGCGCGGATCCGCCATCTTGGACTCCTATCGGAGACCAGCAAACAGGGGGTACTAGAAAGCAGCCTCACGGAGCTCCCAGCGGGAGACAAAACAACCGGTAATTTGCAATATACGCTTTTCCACCCCCCACCCTTCTTCACCCCGACTAGGCCTCCTCTGCTTCCCGTGGCCACAGTCTCTTGACCAGGAAACAGCGGCTGCTTAGATTCCACACACCTGAACAGGTGGCTCTCTGAGTGCCATTTGTTGG